GTGTCACGGCCGGCGGGCCACCCGGCGGGCAGGGGGGGGGGGGCGTACCACATGAGTGCAATTTCATTTTGGAAGAGGGCCACCTGGCGCGGAGTCATCTTGGTGGCTGGGGTGATTGCGATTGCAAATGCATGGGGTTGGGTGAGTCTGGCGGACGCGCGGAGCAGGGGCAGGGGAGGGGGCCGCGCGCTGGCGCACCTTTCAGCTGCTTGATGGCCACGGTGTCCGGGCAGCCAAGACGCGCGGAGATGCCGGCCCCGATGGCGCGCGCGGCGAACACCCGGGCCTGGGCTCCGGTCCCGAGGGCGTCATCGACCGGGGCGAAGTCCGCCATGGTGTCCACCTGCATGGCGCCCGGCAGGGCCAGCTCTGCGGGGGATGGCAACTGGGCGGCGTGCCGCAAGGTCAGTGGCAAGAGGCTTGGAGGGGCGAGGCCATGGGCCGGCGGGGGCACTACTCAGGGGGGATTCTGGCCAGGGGCATGCGCACCGACAATCGTGTTGAGCACCGTCGAGTCTGCGAGGAGCGGAGGTTAGTTGGCGAACGCAGGACGGCAGCCGAGGGGCCGGCTCTCTTGCACGTGGGGTAGGGACGCACTCTCATGCGGTTCCGACTGCAAGGGCCGATGTGAGAGGCCGGTTAGTGGGGCTCGGGCGGGGGCGGGGGCGGGGGCGTGGCTTGGCGGGCGGGCGGGCAGCATGCGCACCAGGTCCCTCGGGCTCTTGGCCCGGCGAGAGCGCAGCAGCAGGAACAGCGCCAGGGCCAGGAGCAGCACCAGCAGCAGCAGCAGGCCCAGGCCGATGCCGAGGCCGAGGGCTGGCGCCGCCGCCACAAAAAAAAGAGCACAGCGGGGGAAGGGGGACAAGCGAGGGGGAGAAAAAAAAAGACGATCAGTATCTGGCCGGGGCGGGCACAAGGAGAGGCGCCGGGATGAGGGGGCGGACACCTACCGAGACGCCGGTCGCGTGCCAGGCCATCGCCCGGCGTGAGGCAGTCCTCGCGCGCCGGGCCGACGCAGGCCGAGCACTCGGGGTGGCAGGCGACACAGGCCGGCACCGGGGCATCCCACTGGGGGAAGAAGCCGTCCGGGCACACTTCCACGCACGACGCCCGGGCCAGCAGCAGGAAGCCCGAGGCACAGCCGTGGCAGGAGTCGGCCTCCGGGCAGACACGCGGCCCGGAGGGGCCGGGCGCCGCGCAGGCCGGGGTGCCGGGCCCGGCGGAGCAGCGCTCGCAGTGCGCCGGGCAGGCGGCCAGGCAGGCCCCGGCCGCGTGGTCCAGCCAGTGGGTGGCATCGGCGCAGGCGGTGCACCGGGCCTCGGCCGGCTCGGTGGCCACCGAGCCGGCCGGAGGAACTCCCCGATCGAGCAGGCCCCGGCACAGCGCCCGGTCCGGGGCGAGAGCAGGAGCCCGGGCTCGCAGTCGGTGCAGCGCGATGCGCACGCGGCGGCGTCCGGGTCGAAGGCCGACAGGTAGCCGGTGCAGCCGGCCGGGCAAGCGGCCGCCAGGGCACCGGCAAAGTGCCCGGCCGAGCGGGAGGTCACGCAGTGGCCCTCCTGCGGGAGGTGCCCCTCCGGGCAGGCGATGCAATCGCCCGGGTCCGGGCCCTGGCACAGCCGGCAGGCCGGCGAGCAGGCGCGGCACGCACGCCCGCCCGGGGCCGGGCGCTGTCCGGCAAATTGCCCGGCCGGACAGGCGCCAATGCACGATCCATCCAGGGCCAGGACCCGGGAGTCGGGACAGGCGGTGCAGTCCGAGGCCCCGGGCCCGGAGCAGGCCGCGCACGAGGGCCTACATGGCTGGCAGGTGGCCCCGGCGGGGAAGGTCCCGGCCGGGCAGTCGGCCAGGCAGACCCCGGCCGGGAGGAATGGCCGGGCCGGGCTGCAAGCGAGACAGTGCTCGGGCCCCGGGCCGTGGCAGGTGGCGCATGTGTCATGGCAGGTGGCACACACCCCGCCCAGGGCCGAGGACCCGGGGGCGCAGGTCAGCACACAGGCCGACGCCTCCAGGAGCCAGCCCCGGTCGCAGAGGGCACAGGCCGACGCGTCGGCCGGGCAGCTGGCGCACTTGGCCGGGCATGCGGCGCACCCGGCGGCCGAAGTGCTGTACCCGACCGGGCGGCCGGGCACACAGCGCATGGGGGTGGCCCCGGCCGGCAGGGCCAGCAGCCCGGCCGGGCAGCCGGCCGTGCACTCGGTGGACTTGGTGCCGGAGCACGCCTCGCAGGAGGCATGGCAGGGGAGGCACCGCTGGCCGATGGCCACATGCCGGGCAGCGCACTCCTGCACGCACCGGCCCGCCTGGAGCACGGACCCGGTGCACCGCCAGCGGTGCCCATCGGTGGGGCCATTGCACTCGGCGCAGGCCGGGTCGCAGGGCTGGCAGGCGACCTCGCCCGGGGGGCGGAAGGCCCCGGCCGGGCAGGCCGACACGCCGGTGACCAGCCCCTCCGCCGGGCCGGCGAGGGCATCCAGCCCGGCGATGCAGGCCGTGCATTCGGCGCCGGTGGGCCCGGCGCACCCGGCACACCGCGAGTCACAGGGCTGGCATGTGGCGGACCCGCCATCGGGGTAGGTGGCGCCCGGGCAGACGGCCACACACTGGCCATCGTGCGCCAGGAGGAGGCCCCCCCCCCCCGGCAGGAGAGGCAGACGCCGGCCGGGCAGGGCACACAGGCGGCCGTCCCATGCGGCGGGGTGGCCGGGGCGGCGGCCCACCGGTGGCCCGGGCCGCAGACCGTGCACGCCTCCGGCCCGCCGGAGCACAGGGCACAGGCGTCGGCGCACGGCCGGCACCGGCCCGGCCCGGTGTACTGCCCTGGCAGGCAGGCGGCCCCGCACAGCGACCGGGCCAGCGGGTCCTCCAGCAGGAAGACCAGCCCCTGCTTGCACGCGGAGCAGGCATCGCCGCCGGTGCATTCGGCGCAGGAGGAGTGGCACGGGGCGCAGGAGGAGTGGCACGGGGCGCAGGACCCGTCGCCGGGGTCGGAGTGCCCGGCCGGGCAGACCTCGCACACGTCGGCCCGGGAGCACTGCAGGCAGCCGGTCGGGCAGACGGTGCGGGCGGCGGGGCTGCCCGGGGCCGAGCACTCGGCCCGGGACCCGTGGCAGGGGGCGCACGCCCGGCCGGCGGCATCCGGGGCCATGCCGGCCGGGCAGCCGCTGGCACAGGTGCCGGTGTCCGGCAGCAGGAGGTAGCCCGCCTGGCAGTCCGGGCAGGCGATGCAGGCCCCGGTGGCCGGGCTGCCGACCGGCGGGGCCCCGGTGGCCCAGCGGAACCCCGGGCGGCAGGTGACACAGGCGTCCGGGGCCCCGGCGCACTGGGCGCACCCGCCATCGGTGCAGGGCTCGCACGACCGCGTGGCGGCCTGGGGCCGGGTGCCCTCCGGGCAGGTCCCGGCACAGGTCCGGCTCGGCTGGAGGAGGTCCCCGGGCAGGGCGCACCGGACACCGGCGCCCGGGTCCCCCGGCCGGGTGCACTCGGCGCACAGCCGGTCGCAGGGGTGGCAGCGCGTCGGGTCGCCCGGGCCCAGGGCATGGCCCCCGGGGCAGGCGGTGCAAATGTACCCCTCGTCGGCGGCCGGGGCGCAGGCCGCGCAGCCGGGCTGGCACCGGCAGGCGCCGCTCCCATCCGGGACCAGCCCCTCCGGGCACCGGGGCAGGCAGGCGTCCGGCGCGTGGGGCAGGAGCCGGTCGCACCGGGTGTCGGTGCACTGGTCGGGCGTGGGCCCGGTGCAGGTGCGGCAGGACCCGGCGCTGGGGGCGCACTCGGGGCCGAAGGTGCCGGCCGGGCACTCGGGCAGGCTGCTCAGGGCCCGGGGGCCGTGGTCAGGATGGCATCCGGCCCGAGGTCCGGCAGGCCGGGCAGGCTGCTCAGGGCCCGGGGGCCCGGCTGGCAGGGCCCGGCCAGCTGGCCCGGGGGCCCGGGCACCGAAGCAGCACCACCCCCACATGCTGGCCATGCAAAACCACCAACGGCCCCGGGGTAGTGGGGCAGGTCGTGCAGCGGCAGCATGGCCGCCGCCACCGGGGCCACCCCGGCCGCCGGCCAAGCGACCGGCACCCGAGCCAGGAGGCGCCCGGCGCCGGGGATGTCCCGGGTCCGGCCCTGGGGACCCATGCCGGCCGGGTGGTGCACCACCGCCCAGTATACCTGGGAATTGAGCGACGCCAGCCCCGTGTGCAGGATGCCGGGCTGGAGGTGCTCCGGCGCCGAGCGCGACCCGTCCCCCATGCCCAGGACCTTCCACCCGTCGGCCGGGACCGGGGTGGCTGCCAGGGGCAGGCTCCGGCCTTGGGGGGAGCTGGCCGCGGCGCCGGGCACGGGCCCCCGGCCGGAGGCCAGGCGGGGCCCGGGCCGGGGGAGCCCAGTGAGCGGCCCGGCCACCGGGGCAGCCCCCGCCCCCCCCCGGCAAGGGTGCCACCCATGCCATCCGGGGGGTGGGAGGTGCCATACTGGAGCAGCGAGTCCCAGGCATGGGCCACCAGGCTGGCCCGCGAACGGTGGCACACCCATGCCCGGCGATCGTCGGTGCTCGGGTCCCAATGCGGCAGCATGGCCGCCGACTCCGGCAGCCGGACAATGGTGTGCGACCCGTCCGGGTGGAATTCCACCACCATGTCGCCGAAGCCCAGGGTCCAGGGGCCCAGCGGGTGGCCCGGCAGCGGGAAGGCAGCCGTGCCGGCCACGGACCGGGGGGCCCCCAGCTGCACGTCGCACCCCTGGTCGGGGGCGGGCCCCGGCAGGGTGCATGTGAGGGTGGCCCGGAAGAGCCCGCTCGACCGGGTGCGGATGATGAGGTCCAGCCGCACGGCGCCGGCCTGCAGGCGGGGGGCCAGCTCGAACAGCTGGGTGATGTTCTCCAAGGGGGCCAGGGTGTGGAGCTGGGTGACGGCCAGCGGCCCGGCCGGGTTCTGGCGCCGGGATCCCAAGTCCACGACGCCCAGCATATTGCCAAGGGCAATGGCCAGGAGGGAGGACGTCCTGGCCCCGGCGGCCAGGGAGGCATTGCTCACGTGGAGGCGTCGGTCTTGGAGGAACGTGCGCGAGGAGCACACCGCGGCCACGCCTCCGGGCGAGGCGTCCAGGATGCCGGCCTGGATGGCGAGGCTGGCCGGGGGGGGGGGGGGGGGGGGGGGGGGGCAGCCCGCCGCCGGGTGGGGCGACGGGCCGGGCAGGGTGCCGGCAGGGGCAGCGATCTGGCGGGGGGGCGTGATGCCGAGCGAGGCCAGGAGCGGTGAGGCACCCAGACGCGAGTAAGCCGGGAAGGGGATGCGCAAGTCGGCCAGGAGGGTGGGCGACCGCGGAGCAAAGGGGCTCACAATGCCGAGTCCCAGGCCGGAGGGGGGGCCGGGGCGCACACGCCGCCGGCGGCCTGCGTCCCGGCCGGGCAGCTGCCGGTGCAGACATCCGCCTGGCCGGGGCCTGGCCGGTGGAGGAGGAAGCCGGGTGCGCACACGAGGCAGGTGCCACTGGCGTCGGGGCATGTCCGGCAGTTGGTCACCGCGCAGGGCAGGCAATCGACTGAGTGGGAGGAGGGGTGGGGAGGAGGGGGGGGGAGGGGGGGTGGGGAGGGGGAGGAGGAGGAGGAGGAGGAGACAATAAAGAAGAAGATGAGGAGGAGGAGGAGAGAATAAAGAAGAAGAGGAGGGGGAGGAGGAGAGAAAAAAGAAGAAGAGGAGGGGGAGGAGAGCAAAAGGAAGAGGAGGAGGGAAGTGGCAGCCATGGGGCCGAGAGGATACGAAAAGAGGCCAGGTTGGAGGGGACAGGGAGAACCAACAACAAAGCCCACGGCAGCCAGGGCCACGCACACTGGCCAGGGCCCAGGACCACGGAGAAGAAGCCATCCGCACAGCCGGCACACAGCTCCCGAAGGCGCTGGGGCTGCACACAATCGACCGGTCGGTGGCGCAGGCGGGGTCCCCATCCAGGAAGAAGGTCCGGTGGTGGATGACCAGGGCCAGGATCTCCGGCCGGCCGGCGCCCGGGGCCCACACCACGGGCTTGGCATTGTGCGGCTTGAGGTCCATGTTTTCGGCCCACCGGACGCGCTGCCAGGCGAAGGCCCCGCCGGCGGTCGGCTGGTGCCGCACGCGCCAGGGGGTGCGCTTGTTGTGCAGCAGCAGCAGCAGCAGCAGCAGCGCATTGCCCGGGTGGGCGGCGTCCTGCACCGGGGGGACCAGGAAGGCGGCCAGGGACTTTTGATTGCCGGAGAGGGCGTTGCTTTGCAGCGGCCCCGGCACCGCGCCATCATCCCCGAGGCCGACATACACCAGGAGCCGGTCGCTCAGCATCACCACCAAGTCCATGTGGCCGGGGTCGGCCGAGAGGAAGCGCGTGGCCGCCAGGGCGATGGGCTTGGCCCCGAGGGAAACCGTCTGCGCCGGCTGCCCGGCCCGGACCCAGGCCCAGCCCTTTTCGAGGGCCACGAAAAGGTGCCCCGGCAGGCCGGGCACCGCCAGCTCCACCGGGTGCTTGGCATCCAGCATGGCCAGCGGGCCCCAGCCCCGGGTGGCGGCATTGTGCGTCACCGTGGCGAAGGTGGACTCGGGGCCGGTTTTGAATTGCACCAGCGCGGTGACCGTGTCCCGGCCGGATGCATGGCCGGCCAGCAGGAGGGGCCCATAACCGGGCCCAGGACAGGGGAGCTGCTGGCGGCCCCGCGCGAGACCCCCACCTGGGCGCCCTTCTGCCACAGGAAGAGCGGCTCCCGGCTGGCCGACGCCAGGGGCAGGGGCCCGACATCCGGGCTGGATGGCACCCCGGCGAGCGCCCCCTCGGAGGAGCCCCACGAGTTGAAGAGCACCCCGGCGCGGATGTCCCCCAGATGGGCGACGTGCCGGTCGCGTGGGTCCACGCGCCACCGGCCGGGCGTGACGTCCGTGCAGGCCGGGCCCTCTCCCGGCAGGAGCCCGGTCATGAAGGGGTCCGACCGGCAGCCCGGGGCCTCGGGCGCCTCCACCAGGTAGTGGCTGTCGGCGGCCACGGCCGGCCAGCCGGCCAGGAGGAGCACGCCCAGAAGCAGGCCGAGGAGCAGTCGCGGGGGCGCCGGGCCCCCGGGGGCGAGGAGGGCCCGCCGTCCCGGCGTGCGCATGGCTGTCTGGACAGAGGCACGCGGTGAGAGGACAGCTGAAGGGGGAGCGGGGCGCGGCCGGGTGAGGCATGGGAGAAGAGGTGCCGATCGCCGGGGGCCCCGGCCCGAGGGGGGGGCGCCATTTGAAGATCCGTCCCGAGGGCGGGGGGGGGGGGGGGGGGGGGGGGCGGGGCCCCCCAGCACCCCCCGGTCCCAGGGGGGCGGGGGGCGCCTTGGGAGAGGACGGGAGAGAGGAAGAGAGAGCAAAATTATCCCGGCGGGGGGGGGGAGCGGGGGACGGGCCCCCGGGGGTGGGGGGCCCCGGCGCCCCCCCCCCCCCCCCCCTCCCGAGACGGGGGCGGGATCTTGGGCGGCCGGCGCGTCGCCCGCCCCCAGGGACCGCCAGCATGCCTGGCGAGTCCTGTTTTCGTGCGTTTTTCGGCGGGCGGGCACTCGGCGGGGCGGAGGAATGCATGGAGCGCGTCCCGGTTCTGCCGCATCAGAATGGAATTGGGCTAAATCGCCGTTTGCCTTGGGGCACCAGGGGGGGGGGTGCAGTTCTGCCATGCCCGTCGGGGGACGCCGGCACGACAAACAATCAACCATGCCGCCGGGCCGGGGGGACCTGGGTGCCCGGAGCCGCAGCTCTAGGGCTTTTCGAGGATGGAGGCCGGGCGCGTGAGCGAGCTGGCCAGTGTGAGTTCCCCCGGGGCGGGGGGTGTGGGGTTCGGGTGACGTGTGACTTGGAACGGTTATGCTGATGCTGTCCCTGCTGGTGTTGAGGGCGTGTTCCAGAGCGAGAGAGCGAGAGAGAGAGAGAGAGAGAGAGAGAGAGAGAGAGAGAGAGAGAGAGAGAGAGCGAGAGAGCGAGAGAGACAAAGAGACAAAGAGAAAGAGTCACAGAGACAAGTACACAAAGAGACAAAGAGAAAGAGGCACAGAGAGACACAAAGAGACACAAAGAGACCGCCTTCGGGCTCGGTGCCGTGTGTTGCATGTTGTGTATTGCATGCTGCGCGTGGTGTGATGGCTGGGACATGTCCGGGGGGGCAGAGTGGCGAGGTGTCCCCGGCCAAGGGAAGGCTGCAACACCACGGACCCTGGGGGGCGGGGCCGCACAACACTCGGGGCAAAATGCCGCAGCTGCTGCCCCGCCGGACGGGGCGGCCGCCCACCTATGGGGTCCCCCTCCGTGGGGCCTTGCACGGGGCACCATCTCGCTGCCCCCGGCTGAGGCAAGGAGGGGGGGCATTCACAACGGACATGGCCGCCGGCAGGCAAGAGAGCGGCCGGCCGGCCTTGAGCTCAGGGAAAGGCAGCCGCCAGGCCGGCCAGCGAGGCGGCCAGGGCCGCGGCGCCCGGGCGCTCGCGCGGGTCCGCCGCCCACGCCTGCCAGTAGGCCTGCTGGAAGGCCGCCAGCCAGGGCGCGGCACTGGCCGCATCGGCCAGCCGCACCGGGGCCCCGGTGCCCGGGGCCACATCCGGCCGCTTGCCGTCCAGCACCGCGCGCAGGATATCCGCTTGCGGGGTGCCTGCGGCGCATGGGTAGTGGGTCGGTCAGTGGTCGGGGCGAGATGAGCAGAGAGGGGGCCCACACACGGGGGACAAAGCAGAACACGCACCGGACCAGGGCCGAGCCGCGGCCACCAGGCTGAAGAGCAGTACGCCCAGCGAGTAGATGTCCACCTTCAGCAGGGACACCACGCTGCTGTCCGGCGGGGCCAGGGCGAAGGGCAGCCCGTGCAGCCGGGCCAGCGTCTCCGGCGGGGCGTACGCCAGACTGCCGGCCGCCACGTCCCCCAGCGTCGGGATCACCGAGAACCGGTTCAGCACCAGGGCCACGCCGAAGTCCCCGATGACCGGCTGCAGGCGTGACGGGTCCGCCGGGTCCGGCCGGACAAACACATTCTCCGGCTTCAGGTCCTTGTGCACCACGCCGTGCGCGTGGATGAAGGCCACCCCGGCGGCTA